GTTTTAGCTTTTAAGCCCTGCAAAAACAGGCTGCAGGCTAACCTGCGGGCCAGTTTGCCAATCCTGCTATAGATTTATAGTAAGTCTTAAAATCTGGTCATATGAGTTCTCCAAATGTGTTCTTTTACAAAACTGTTTTGGCTGTTTTAGCTTTTGCTTTTTGATATAAATTTTAGCATCAGCCGGGCGCAGTGGCTCACGCCTGTAATCCCAGCACTTTGGGAGGCCGAGGCAGGCAGATCAGGAGGTCAAGAGATTGAGACCATCCTGGCTAACACAGTGAAACCCCATCTCTACTAAAAATACAAAAAATTAGCTGAGTGTGGTGGCACGTGCCTGTAGTCCCAGCTACTCAGGAGGCTGAGGCAGGAGAATTGCTTGAACCCGAGAGGCGGAGGTTGCAGTGAGCTGAGATCGTGCCACTGCATTCCAGCCTGGGTGATAGAGTGAGACTCTATCTCAAAAAAAAAAAAAAAAAAAAAAATTAGCATCAATTTCTAGAAATATAGGCTGCTGGTATTTTAATTGGGACTATATTTAGTCCATAGATCAACTCGGGGAGAATCAACATCATTATATCAAATCCCCCAATCCATGAACATGGTATGGTGTATCTCTCCATTATTTAGGCCTTCTTATTGTTGTGGTATATTTTTTAATCCAATGAAACATTAGATCTTATATATATTTACCACTTTATTTGTTTTCCATTCCTTATCTATCTCTAACCCTCCATCTGGTTTCATTTTCCTTCTACCTGAAAAATTTTACATTAGAAATCCTTAGTCAGACAAGATGACTCATGCCTGTAATCCCAGCACTTGAAGAGGACAAGGTGTAAGAATTGCTTGAGCCAAGGAGTTCAAGACCAGCCTAGGCAACATGGTGAGACTCTGTCCCTATAAAAAATTAATCAAGGCCAGGCATGGTGGCTCATGCCTGTAATCCCAGCACTTTGGGAGGCCAAAGTGGGCAGATCACCTGAGGTCAGGAGTTTGAGACCAACCTGGCCAAAATGAAATGAACCCCCATCTTAATAAAAATACAAAAATGGTGCTCATGCTTGTAATTCCAGCACTTTGGGAGGGCAAGGTGGGCAGATCACCTGAGGTCAGGAGTTCAAGACTAGCCTGGCCAACATGGTGAAACCCTGTTTCTACTAAAAATACAAAACATTAGCCAGGTGTGGTGGTGCATGCCTGTAATGCCAGCTACTTGGGAGGCTGAGGCAGGAGAATTGCTTGAACCTAGGAGGCAGAGGCTGCAGTGAGCCAAGATTGCACCACTGCACTCCAACCTGGGCAGCAGAGGCGCCCGCCACCACGCCCGGCTAATTTTTTGTATTTTTAATAGAGACGAGGTTTCACCATGTTACCCAGGATGGTCTCGAGCGCCTGACCTCATGATCCGCTGGCCTCGGCCTCCCAAAGTGCTGGGATTACAGGTGTGAGCCACCGCGCCAGGCTTTTTTTTTTTTTTTTTAACTGGGGACACACAGACTTTGGTGGAAGCTCACAGCAGCTTTGACCTCCTGGACTCAAGCAATCCTCCTACCTCAGCCTCCCAGGTAGCTGGGACGACAGGCACGCCACCACGCCCAGCTAATTTTAAATTTTTCATAGAGACAGGGTTTTGTCATGTTGCCCAGGCTGGTCTCGAACTCACTCCTGCGCTCAAGCAATTCTTCTGCCTTAGCCTCCCAAAGTTTGGGGATTACAGGTGTGAGCCACCGTGCCCAGTCCTCATGCACACTTTTAAAGTTTTTACTATGTTTTGCCAAATTTTACTATGTTTTGCCAAATCCAGGTTTATACCTAAGTGAAACGTGGACAGCCCCACGTTTCAGTTTTTTTTGTTTTTGAGACGGATTCTGCCTCTGTCGCCCAGGCTGGAGTGCAGTGGCGTGATCTCAGCTCACTGCAACCTCCACCTCTGTGGTTCAAGCAATTCCCCTGCCTCAACCTCCTGAGTAGCTGGGATTACAGGCACACGGCACCATGGCCAGCTGATCTTTTTGTATTTTTAGTAGAGATGGGGTTTCACCATGTAGGCCAGACTTGTCTTGAACTCCTGATCTCAGGCAATCCACTGCCTCGGCCTCCCAAAGTGCTGGGATTACAGGTGTGAGCCACCACACCCAGCCTTCCAGCTGGTCCTTATTTATCCTCCAGCACTTTCAGCTGTTCTATTCCAAGTTTGATCCATGCAACGCAGGGGGTGGGGGGACAATCCAACAGGTGAATCCTCTCCCACACCTGGAAATGGCTCAAGGAGGCCTCCTAGTTGGTTACGGGACCACTGAGCCATGGACCCCAGGGTCACCTTTCTTCCCACCACAGTCAAGCTCAGCACGTAACTTAAATGCATAGTGGTCCCGGAAGTGTCAAGGAGAAAAAAATGCCCATTTTTTTCCCCTCCATACACAACAAAACTGTTCTAATACAGCCAAATGAACTGGAGAAGCAGTTTTATTCTTGCCCTTCCTGCCGAGAAAAAACTGAAAATGCAGGTGCCACAAAAATACTAAATGGAGGCCAGAGGCAGTGGCTCATGCCTTTAATCCTAGCACGTTGGGAGGCCAAGGTGGGTGGATCGCCTGAGATCAGGAGTTTGAGACTAGCCTGGCCAATGTGTTGAAACCCCATCTCTACTAAAAATACAAAATTAGCCAGGTGTGGTGGCAGGCGCCTGTAATCCCAGCTACTTGGGAGGCTGAGGCAGGAGAATCGCTTGAACCCGGGAGGCAGAGGTTACAGGGAGGTGGAGGTTGCAGTGACCTGAGATCGCGCCATTGCACCTCAGCCTGGGCGACAGAGCAAGACTCTGTCTCAAAAAAAAAAAAAAAACCTAAGTGGAGAGTGCTCTTGGAGAAGGGTTTCCAGCCTTTCAGAGGAAAGCTGCAAAACACTGAAAGCTTTCAAACTTTGGGATCTTCAGCTCTTACAGAAGTATCTAAGTCAGGTGTGGTGGTGCACACCTGTAATCCCAGCTACTTGGGAGGATCTCTTGAGCCCAGAAGTCCAAGGTCAAGCCTAGGCAACGTGGCAAGACTTGTCTCTTAAAAAAAAAAAAAAAATTGTAGGTTGGGTGCGGTGGCTCACGCCTGTAATGCCAGCACTTTGGAAGACCAAGGCAGGTGGATCACTTGAGGTCAGGGGTTCGAGACCAACCTGGCCAACATGGTGAAACCCCCTCTCTACCAAAAATACAAAAATTAGCGGGACATGGTGGTGCGCACCTATAATCCCAGCTACTTAGGAGGCTAAAGTGGGAGAATCACTTTAACCCTGGGGGTGGGGAGCTGCAGTGAGCAGAGATTGTGCCACTGCGTTCCAGCCTGGGCAACAGAGTGAATCTCTGTCTCAACAAAAACAAAAACAAAACAAAACATAAATTCTGACTATTCCTTTCCTAGGGCTTCTCCAGCATCCTGACTCTCCAACAGCACTGGGCTTTCACAAGGACAAATAATATGCAAAACTTTTTAGGAGTCTACTTATGATAATTGCCTTAAATTAACATCACAAAGCAATGGAAATTGCATCCCCCTAAGGCTTCTTACGGCAGGAAGTTACCCAGCGCCTGACTGAAAAGGTAGTGACAATTAAAATTAGGTTGGTTAGCTTCTGTCTTGCAAAGCTTGTCTGTTAATCCATTACTTGTATTCATATAAAATGGCATTTCTATATCAAAATGTGTGAATGTTTTAATCTGTTGTAAATACAAGCTTTTTTTTTCTGTTCAATCAGACAAGTCTTTCCTCTGCCAGAAACCTTAAAACTGGTATTCTTAAAACAGTACTCTACTATCTGCTTTTACTTTACTGGATGGATATTCAGTGTTCAGATCACAGAAAGTCAGTCCTTCACTATTTGCTAGCCTCAGGCCATACCAGGAGAACTTCAGTGTGAGTGTCTTATTTTAAGCCTATCATCAGTGAACTAAAGTGCTCACAGGAAGATGGAGGAGGAGAACTGCAGATCAGGTTACTGGAGGAGCAGAGAATGCATTTCCAGAAGCCCTGTAATGTCTTCAGACCTTTGAAGGCTGTTTTGTAGAAGATGGCTTGTTCTTCCTTAATTTTCAAGGCAAGCATAGGGCCAAAGAATGAGAGCTATATAAAGCTAGATTTCATCTTTAAATGGAAGACCTTTAAACAATTAGAGCTGTGTGAAAGATACAAAAACTTTCTTGGATTGAACTGAGCTCCTAATTCATTGGGAGAATTCAAAAGAATGGTCATCTCACAGGTCTACAATAAATGAATGATTGAACATGATTGAATATTTTACATGATTACTTTATTTATTTATTTATTTTGAGACGGAGTCTTGCTCTGTCGCCCAGGCTGGAGTGCAGTGGCCGGATCTCAGCTCACTGCAAGCTCCGCCTCCCGGGTTCACGCCATTCTCCTGCCTCAGCCTCCCCAGTAGCTGGGACTACAGGCGCCTGCCACCTCGCCCTGCTAGTTTTTTGTATTTTTTTAGTAGAGACAGGGTTTCACCGTGTTAGCCAGGCTAGTCTCGATCTCCTGACCTCGTGATCTGCCCGTCTCGGCCTCCCAAAGTGCTGGGATTACAGGCTTGAGCCACCGCGCCCGGCCACATGATTACTTTATAATTAAATATATATATATATGGACACAGTCATTTGTTTTTAGAAAGCTTTGAAAATGTTTAAGCAAACTTAAACATTTTTATTTTATTTTTATTAAATAGAGACTTTTATTTTTATTAAATAGGGTCTCACTGTGTTGCCCAGGCTGGTCTCAAAACTCCTGAACTCAAGCAATCCTCCCACCTCGCCCTCCTAATAAGCAAACTCTTGTTATTCTGACCACTAGTTTGTAGAATAGAGCCATGTGGCTAATCATCTTAATCCCACTTGGGTTTTTGAAACCCTTTGCCTGGCTGGCTGTTGTTGACACTGTGTAGGGGCAAAGAAGGAAAGCTTCCGCCTTTACCTTCTTAAGGTTCACTGAAAATGACAAAAGGCAGGTAGGAGAAAAAGGCATACAAATTTATTTAAAATGCAGAGCACAGGGGAACTGCATGAGAATGATTACCCAATAACCCAATGAGGCTTAGAGGTTTATAGACACTTCTTCATGGAGGAAGGAGAGATGAGGGTGTAGGAGTGAAAGATTTTTAGTGGGAAATGAATGGTCCCAAAGGCAGACTTTATCTTGTGAATGATTCTCTGGCAATTTAATGGGGCGGAAGAACAAACAATGGTTTGGGAAGAAGTTTGTCTGGGCTGTAGCTATGGTGTTTAATGTTCAGTCTCTTCCTCTGTGATAGAAGTTTTAATTTTCTCTGGTTAATGAAATTTCAGGGAAGGGATAAAAGGCAATTGTGTTCCTCTTTGGGGGTCCAGTTTCTAGGTAGATAAGAGAACTTCAGCGAACAGCTTCATTCTGTGCTTTGGGAGAGACGGGATCAGAGAGAAAGGGAGGTAGGGGGAGGTCAGAGGGAGACCTTAGACTGAGGCTTATTTCCGAGGCCTTTCAATTTTCAAAGCACTCAGCATGCCGAAGCATCATATTTTGCGGTATGGCTTTCTGTGCTCCAACATCTGCTCAAAAAAAGGAATAATTAATGTCAAAACAATAAAAATGCTTTATATTTGTATTCTTCTGTATTTGTACATACCCAGATTTTAACGGTTTCTCTTTTACTGTATAAATTTATGTATTTCCAAATTACATATTTATATATTCCAGAGATGATTTTAGCTTTCAGGAGGACTCATCTGTTTCCTTAGTCTTAATTCTATTAACACCAAAGGATAGCTTCCTAAGCATAAAAGGGAGAAAATTATTCCATTCCTACCTTTAGTCACTGGTGATAGAGATCACTCCACAACTGAAGAACAAAATCCTCCTCTGGGAGTGAAACTCTTAAATAAAGCACATTGTAGACAAGATTAAGCAACTATGTAAGAAATTTGCCTAAAGAGATAGTTTTTTCCATAAAAAGCAAAAGATAGTGAAATGGATGTCATCTCACTCCTGAATTTAGCTAAATTGAGGTCACTTCTCATCCTGCCCTGCCCCCTCTCAGAAGGAAGAATGCAGCCCAGGGATGGTGATAGCCTACAGAAGCCTTGGGCTCAGCTCCTAAGCCCTAAGGGACAGATGGAGAAAGGAGGACCAGACGGAGGGGAAAGAGGTGGGGGAGGCGGGGTGCGCTGCTGCAGGTGGCAGGGCAAGACCTGCACTCCCTTAAGTATGTATGCTTCTAGGCTCGCAGAGACTGGCCAGGGGCTGGTTGGCATCACACCATGCACATCTGTACTAGGTACCAAATCACTGCTCATCCTTGACCAGAATATTTAGTCAGTTAGTTGTGAATATTAATTGCAGAAGAACTTTCTGGTTTTATGTCTCTCTTTGGTCACAGTCCTAGCTTGCGGGGTTAGAGAAAAAAGAGTCCACTTTTTAGGGTTCCAGATTTAGCAAACAAATAGAATATAAAAATACAAGAGGATGAGTTAAATTTGAATCTCAGAAAAATAATAAATAACTTTTTAGTGTAAGCATATCCTAAATATATTTCATCTGGCAACTCTATCATATTTTCCAATCAAGAGTTAAGCCTTGGGGCCAGGCATGGTGGCACACGCCTGTAATCCCAATACTTTTGGAAGATTGAGGTGGGCAGATCACTTGAGGTCAGGAGTTCGGGACCAGTCTGGCCAACATGGTGAAACCTCCTCTCTACTAAAAATACACACAAAAAAATTAGCCAGGTATGGTGGCACATGCCTGTAATCCAGCTACTCAGGAGGCTGAGGCAGGAGAATTTCTTAAAACAAGGAGGAGGAGGTTGCAGTCAGCTGAGATCACACCACTGCACCCCAGCCTGGGCAAAAGGGCAAAAGAGTGAGCCTCTGTCTCAAAAAAAAAGAAAGAAAGAAAGAAAGAAAGAAAGATAAAGAGAAAGAGAAAAGTCAGCAGAATGGAAATAAATCAGAGATGTAAGTAATCAATGACTAACATTTTTTGCTATTTTGTTTTTCTCAATTTAAATTTAAATTTTTTTCTTTTAAAAATTACCTTTTATTTTTGTGAAAATAATGTAAATACGCACAAAAATTAAAAAGTCAAAAGGGACTGGGCACAGTGGCTCATGTGGGTTATACCAGCACTTTGGGAGGCCAAGGAGGGAAGATCACTTGAGGCCAAGGGTTCTAGACCAGCCTGGGCAACATAGTGAGATCTTGTCTCTACAAAAAAAAAATTAGCTGGACATGGCACCGTGCACCTGTAGGCTTAGCTACTTCAGAGACTGAGGTGGGAGGATTATATGAGCCCAAATGTTCAAGGTTGCCGTGAGCTATGATCCTACCTCTGCACTTTAGCCTGGGTGACAGAGTGAGAACCCAACTTAAAAAAAAAAGTCAAAAGTACTAAAAGGTATATAATGAAAAATAGCAGTGCACCGTTCTACCCAATCCCACTCAATCCCATCCTTCCTCTGATTGCCAGAGGTAGCCAGTTCATCCTTTTCCGTTGTTTTTCCCAGTTTTAACTGCCTCCCATCTTCCTAAAAATGCCTATACTGCTATTTTGTTGATTTGTCAGTTTTGGACATTACCTACTTTCTTTTTCTTTTTTTTTTGAGACGAGTCTTGCTCTGTTGCCCAGGCTGGAGTGCAGTGGCACCATCTCCGCTCACGGCAACCTCCGCCTCCCGGGTTCAAGCAATTCTCCTGCCTCAGCCTCCCGAGTAGCTGGGACTACAGGCACGTGCCACCATGCCTAATTTTTGTATTTTTAGTAGAGACGGGGTTTCACCATGTTGGCCAAGATGGTCTCAATCTCTTGACCTCGTGATTGGCCCGCCTCGGGCTCCCAAACTGCTGGGATTACAGGTGTGAGCCATTGCACCCAGCCTGAAAACATCTTTTTACTGCACCATTCCTCTTGACTAATGGTTTGGGTTTAGATCTCTAGGCTGTAAGTCATTCTCACTCAGAATTCGGAAGGGCCTCGCTCCATTCTGCTCCAGCTTCCAGCACTGCTGCTGAGAAACCTACTCCCATTCTCATTCCTGATCCTTTGGAGTCACCTGTTTTCTTTCTGGATCCTTTTAGGGTCTTTTCTTTATCCCTGGTTTTCTGCCAGTTCATGGAAATGAACCTTGAGATATAAATCTTATTTTATCTCCCTGAGGATTTTATAGCATTTTAAAAAGTTTTCTTCTTCTCTCTGATCATATTAAAGGACTATGTGCTGAAGAGATGACTACATGGATGGCCAGCCTGCTTGGGTAAAGCCTGACTAATGGGGGACTTCCCTGTGCAGGGTGGTGGTCCCTGAGCTGCTGTTCCATTGAGGGCCCCAAACGCCTGTATCTAAAGGTCTTCCCTTTGAGCCTGCTCAGTTTCTACAGAAAAGGGTTCTTTCATTTTCAGGTGGTGGTTGTGGAGTAGGGGCCAGGTTGGGGTGGGGTGAAGGGGTGAGAAATGTGCCTGGCTCCTAGGTTATCTAGCAGCAGGGTGAGGAAAAGGGGCTGAGAATTTACCTTTTAGTATCTAGATTTTCTTTTGTTCCCCATATTTCCAGTTCTGTATCCCATACCTGCTCTTCATAGTACCTGATGTGCTGATCCAAATTCCCCAGGGAGTAAACCTCAGGTCTCCTTCAGGAGTGGGCAGGAGCAGACAGCCCACTGCCCGCCTAGGCCTCCTCTCACCTAGCTCTCAGGCAGGCACCACACTCCTGCCATTCACAGCGCCGTCCTCTGTCTCCCAGCAGCTACACCTGCCTCTCTCCTCCCCTCTGTGGAATCAGGCCTCAGCTCCCTCCACGCCTCTGTGTGACTCACCACTCCACTCCTTCCTCTGCTTCCCACCTTCCGAAAATGTGGTGACATCCACGTCTGCTGCTGCCTCCTCTTCTATTCTCAGAGACCTTGTCAGGGATTTTTTTTTTTTTTTTTTTAACTCTTTTTACTCCTGTGTTGCTATCTTTGGTAGCGCTTGGGAGGGAGCAGACAGATTCACAAGAGACTCCTCTGCCATGTTTAACCAGAAGTTCTTTTGTGTAAGTTTTCACTCTGAAGCATTTTCAGGGGACACTTTCCAGGCCCTGTTCTGAAATCTTGCTTTCAGTCAACACAGTTGGTTTTTATTTTGCTTTGTGGTAGATGTTTCTTTATGGGAAGCAGATCAAAGTCTAAATACACACTTTGTTTTTGTTTTTTGTTTTTTTGAGACAGAGTCTTGCTTTGTCGCCAGGCTAGAGTGCAGTGGCACGATCTCGGCTCACTGCAACCTCTGCCTCTCGGGTTCAAGCAATTCTCCTGCCTCAGCCTCCCGAGTAGCTGGGACTACAGGCATGCGCCACCACATCTAGCTAATTTTTGTACTTTTAGTAGAGACGGGGTTTCACCATGTTGGCCAGGCTGGTCTCGATCTCCTGACCTCAGGTGATTCACCTGCCTCGGCCTCCCAAAGTGCTGGAATTACAGGCGTGAGCCACTACACCCAGCACACACACTTTGTTTAATGGTATTGGTAAAACACTCTTGACCTTTTAAACAATAGCAGCAAGACCCAAATATGTCTCTCTGCTTTTGTCTTGGAATGGGGGATGGAAAAGCTGGAGAGGTGCTTGGCAGCACGGCCTTTGCCCCAGTGCTTGACATTCTGGTCAATCTCCTATGCATGAATAAAAAGCAAGCGGAACGCTGAAATATCATCTCCTTTGAATTCACCATGAGCTCCACTTCTCTGCTCTCCTGTGTTGACACATTACTGCTATTGCATTGCATCTGCTGGTGAATCTCCTTTCATTGCAGGCCACAGAAAACCTCCTTCATGTAAAGCTGCACACAAGGCCCCTGAATGATGAGGACACTTTAGCAGTCATTCCTCTTATTGAAGGGCTCACAGTCTTAGGGAAGGATTGCTGCCATTTCAGTGTGCTCTGCTGTGCCCTGCTGCAGAAAGTCCAGACAAACTAAGGCGGGAAAGCTGGGCTGGGAGCCCGTGACAGGGAAAAGTTAGCAGGAGAGTGAGTGGACCAGATGGATAGGGCTTTGAATGCCACACCAGGTCTTTGGATTTTTCTGCAGGCAGTGGGAGCCACCCAAGGATTCTGAGCAGGAGAGTAACATGAGATAAACTGTGCTTTCAGAAAATTAAGTTGGCCGGGAGCAGTGGCTCACGCTGTTATACCAACACTTTGGGAGGCCGAGACAGGTGGATCACCTGAGGTCAGGAGTTCAAGACCAGCCAGGCCAACATAGCAGAACCCCACCTCTACTAAAAATACAAAAATTAGTCAGGCATAGTGTCAGACGCCTGTAGTCCCAGTTACTTGGGAGGCTGCAGCAGGAGAATTGCTTGAACTCACAAGGTGGAGGTTGCAGTGAGTCAAGATTGCACCACTGCACTGCAGCCTGGGCAACAGAGCGAGACCCTGTCTCAGGAAAATAAATAAATAAAAATACAAAAATTAGCTGGGTATGGTGGCAGGCATATGTAGTCCCAGCTACTTGGGAGGCCAAGGCAGGAGAATCGCTTGAACACAGGACTGGAGGTTGCAGGGAACGGAGGTTGCAGTGAACTGAGATTGTGCCACTGCACTCCAGCCTGGGGAAAAGAGTGAGACTCTGTCTCAAAAGAAAAAAAAACAACAAAAAAAGGAAAATTAAGTTGATAGCTGTAGGTCAGAAGGTTCAGAGAGGGAGAGGCTAGAGTCCAGGGGGCTCTAGATCAGATCACTGGGAGAACTTTGTAAAAATCCACACGCCAGCCTCTGCCCTTCAATATTTTGTTTCAGGAGGTTTGGGGAGGGAACTAGCAATCTGCATTCTCAAAACATTCCACAGTTGCAGAGGTCATTGTGACAGGACGCTAAAGGGGATCAGACCCCAAATATGAGGCTGGGAGTCTAGGGAGAGAGAGGGGAAATAGACGGGGGAGGCTGCCCTGAGGGGAGCCCCACCTGGCCTCTGCCTGCTTAGGGGGCTGAGGGGAGGAAAACATGAAGAAGACCATCAAATTGGGCCAGGAGAGCTGCCTGGAGACTGGGGCCCAGCCTCCAGCCTTCTGATTTTAGAAGAAAATCAGATTTGGGAGATGACATGGGACATTCCAGGTGACAAAGGGGCCTGGGACTTGGGGGATGGTGAATCTGTGAGCACCTGGCTCCTACTTACAGTCATGGAGTATGTAGAACTGGGAAAGGAAACTGTCATTCACATCCCTCAGTCAAACATACGTAGGCACATGCATGGACACAAACATAGCCCTCTTCTGCAGGAGTCAGAAAGGGTGGTGATTCAGAGACTGGGCTCTGTAATCCAGCAGCCCTGGATTGAAATCCTATCTCTGTGGCTCTGGCTGAGTCACCTGTCCTGTGAGCAACAGCCTCCTCACCTATAGAAAGAAAATGTTGCCAGCAATTAACTCAATATGGCTTTGTGATGACTCGATGAGATGCTGCATGCAGAGGCTGGACACAGTGCCTGACACAAGGGGAGACTCTGTATAGAAGCTCTAAGGGTAATACTAAAAAATGCAATCTCACTTCTGAAGCCAGGGAGCCATAAAGTATTTCATTCAGAGTGCAAGGAGGCAAGTCCACAAGAAGACACGAACCCTTTTTTTTTTTTTTTTGATACAGAGTTTTGCTCTGTTGCCCAGGCTGGAGTGCAGTGGCATGATTTTGGCTCACTGCAACCTCTGCCTCCCAGGTTCAAGCGATTCTTGTGCTTCAGCCTCCTGAGTAACTGAGCTTACAGGTGCATGCCACCATGCCTGGCTAATATTTTGTATTTTTGGTAGAGATGGGGTTTCACCATGCTGGCCAGGCTGGTCTTGAACTCCTGACCTTAAGTGATCTGCCGGCCTCTGCCTCCCAAAGTGCTGGGATTACAGGTGTGAGCCACCATGCCCAGCCAGCATGAAGCCTTTCATTTGCTGCTACCCATTCCGTATGGCTTTCTCTGGGTGTGTGTTTGGTGAGTCCTTTGCCTTTGGTTTCTAGGACCCACAGAGAAATGACAGACCCTTCCTGCTGCATTTAATCGGAAAGGAGCACAGAGACCTGAGATTATAATGATGACGTCTTAAATGTCAAGTGCTTCAAAAGTCTGCTGTTGCACTCACTGTTACCCTGAACAGCTCTGGGAACCAAAACCCTGCAGCCACCTAAAGCATGCCCTGAGTCTCTCAGCCAGGTTTCACCTGGGAAATCTGAGTGACAGTGACGTGCAGGCAGCTGGAAGACGCACAGTAAACCGAGGAGCCTGTGATGAGCTCAGAGGAGGTGAGTTGATGATCTGCTATTTATAGCCCCACTAAGAGGCTCTGGCCGCCAGCTCCATGTGAGGCTGGGTGGAAATGATGCCTTCGCAGAGCTGAGAGCACAAAATGAAATTGGTGATTCATGGGCAGCAGCCACTTGAAAATATGAACACTCCTGCGTCCTCAGCCCCGCTGGCCTTTCACACCCATTTGGAGGTGTGTTAAGCAGAGTTGCTAGCCTGCTGCATCCTAGTCTGCATGTGTTTGGGCAGGATGTGAGGACAGGCAGGTTCTGCCCCGACAAGGAGCCTGCAAAGGGCAACAGCACCCCGGGAGCACTCTGAGAACCTCCGCCCACCCCCCAGAGGCCTCAGCTGGAACGCAGGGCAGGGCTGAGTAAGAGGCAAGCCCCAGGAGGACCTGCGGTCACAGAGAAAGGACACTTCCTGCTCCTGCCCTCTGTCTCCAGGGGCGACGCTGGCAACAGAACAGCTTTCTGATGACGCTTGTTCTGCTGAACACACAAAAGTGTACAATGAGGAAACCCCTGCAGCTTGACATTTCCCCCCCTACAATTCCACAGCCCAGTACCTGTCACCTGAAATAGCTTTTGTTTATTTTCCTCAGTAACATCTTGGCTTCCAGGCCAAAGTCTTCTTGGAGGACCCAACTCAACTCACCCTATGTGAGGAATGCCCTGGAGGTCTCTCAGTTTCCCACAACCAAACTGAACTTAAAGGGCCAAACCAGGATAAGGAGGCCAGCTGAGCTCTGAAGCCAGATTGTCTGGGTTCACATTCTTTTTCTACACTTGCAGCCACGTGGCTTCAGTCAAATTGCCCTCTGAGACTCAGTTTTTCTCATTGGTAAAATGAGGATAATTAGAGAACCTACCTCACTGGGCTGTGGTGAAGGGTGACATGTGGATAGTGGTCAGCCCAGCGTCCAGCACATGGACAGACTTGATACTGGACACTGCTGCTGCTGCTTTTGCTGTTGAAGTTGTTTTTACTACTGGGTTTTGGTCCCTGTACTGATAGCACTTCTTTGCACACAGTCTATGGCACTGAGCTTCCTTGCGGAGGTGGTGCCCTGAGGCCTCAATAGAGACCCTCTGCCCAACAAACACACCCCATATCAAGCTGCCAAACATAGTGGACTTCACCCCGGGCATGCTTGACAGGCCTCTGCCTTTGCCTAGGAACCAAGTGCCTTTCCCCTGGGGCTGGGCCTTGCCCGGGTCGACTACCCCGATGCTTCTGCTCCTCTATGTCCTGGGGTGGCCTTGGGGGTATTAACGGTCACCATCCAGTGGAGGGTTTCACCTGAGGGTCCCAGGTGCTAACTTGAGGTCTGTGACCAGCAGGCAGCCCACCAAGGGAGGGCCTGGATGACTGGCCGGATAGGCCCACCTCACCTACGGGCTGCACTTGCAGCACAAACTGCTGATTCATGGAGACTCATGAGGCCTTGGCTATCTGTACATTCTCCATCTCCAGCTGTCGGCCAAAACATAATTGTAGTTGTCACTTTGGCAGCGAGATGCTATGATGTGTCCTCTCTCCACGGCAGTGAGCTTTTGGAAGGTAGGAGGGATCTGCAGCTGCTCCCGTGGACAGAACCATTCTGGAAAGTGGTCTGTGTGAAGTGCACCCAGGTGCAGTCCGAGGAGTGGTGTGAGCAGCAGGGTGAGGCCCTATATTAGAACGGGCACTGGTGTTGCCTGTGTCTGCATCTACAGTAATGCAATTCTGATGACATCAATGAATAACAGAGAGGCTGCCATTGAAATGAGGCATTGTTGGCAGCTATGAGGACTTGGAAAACAGCCATCAGGCTTATGCACAAGTCAGAATCCATCGTGTGTGGGGTAAATGAGTGGTTAGACCATGGGGTACATGGTGTAGGGAGATGGTGCCAGAGACATAGCTAGGACCAGACTGAGAAGCAAGGGAGTCAAAGACCAGGCCATGCAGCTTGGACTTGATCCTGGACATAGGGAAAGTGATGTGATCGGAGGACGTGGCAGTTCTGGGCTCAAGCCTCCTTGAGGGATGGCACTGAGGGCAAGGTTCCCCCTCCCCACAGCAGCTGGCAAGCAGTGGCTTGCTGCTTGGGAAGGTGTTTACCCCTGTGGAGCACGAGTTCCACACTCAGAAGGTGCCTGAGACTCTGCTCATATGGAAAGCATGGGAAGGGCCAGTCCCAGCCAGGACAGCTGAGAGTGCGCAGTGAACAAGGGAAAGCACCAGGCTCATGCCTTCCCTCTTCTGCCGTCCTTCTTGGCCAGGAGTTCATTACTGAAGCACCTGTGTGCAGATGTGCTAAATGTAGAGGACTGCACCACTCCCAGGTCAAAGGTCAGGGAGGCTCCTGGGACTGAGAGATGACCCCGCTGCCTGTGGATGTGGCCTCCCTTCCCACTAAGGAAACAGCAGAGGCAAACATCCAAGCTTACCTGATGGAGGAATTCCTAGAAGAAAGGTTCTATCCTTATGTACTTAAATACTGACTTACAGGTTGGTTAGTGGAGACAGAAGAACAGTAAGTGTTGGGAGCCGTTACCAGTGGAGGAGCCACCCATGAGCACGGAAGCCAGAGCATATCTGGACCATCATGTAAGTTCAGAGGAAGACACGATTCAGTTGACAAAAATTTGTGTACCCTCCTCAGAAGTGCATTGTTGTGCAAGAAATGGTTTGGCAGTGACTCTCCCCTTTCAGCTGCAAGTCATCAAGGGCTGAATGCCTCTCCAGTTGCCAGGGGAGGAGTGGCTTGTAGAGCGGATGTTCCCAGTCTGGCAGAATCTTCTATCAAGTGTTCCCTGAGTTGGGCTGCCAGGGGGCAGGTGTTGAACAGTGATGAAGTCCTCTCACCTGAGCAGCTTCTAATGCAAGAGGGGTGTCGTGGGTGCCTGAAACCCTATGTCTGTGGGTGGAGCGTAAACTTAGCCTCTTCCCTGAGGTTAGGCAGCATGTCATAACCACCTCCGGCTGCCCATGGCTGGTTTGGGGCAATATGCCAAGATGTAGTTTTGCCTATTTGGTTTGCTTTTTCCTCTAAAATATACAAAAGTTAATAACATGTACTGGGTTTTTAAAAAATTATAAAATATAAGATATGGTCAGAAAAGTGCAAACAGACCGGGTGAGGTGGCTCACGCCTGTAATCCCAGCACTTTTGGAGGCCGAGGGAGTGGATCACCTGAGGTCAGGAGTTTGAGATCAACCTGGCAAACATGGCGAAGCCCCATCTCTACTAAAAATACAAAAATTAGCTGGGCGTGGTGGCGTGCTTTACCTGTAGTCCCAGCTACTCAGGAGGCTGAGGCAGGAGAATTGCTTTTGAGCCTGGGAGGCTGAGGTTGCAGTGAGCCAAGATTGTGCCACTGCACTGCACTCCAGCCTAGGTGACAGAGCAAGACTCTATCTCAAAAAAAAAAAACAAAAAAGAAAGAAAAGAAAAGTCCAAACAACTATGTATACAGCTTAACGAATAATTATAACATGAATGCTTTTTTAGTATAGAAAAGGTTTGTGTTTTTTTTAAACCATATGACCAATAAACCTTTACCTAGAGAACTTTCACTAAGATTCTTTTAACAGAGTAAAAAAATTAAAATGGTACAAAAAAAGAAAAAAAAAAAAAAAAAAAAAAAAAAAAAAAAAAAAAAAAAAAAAAAAAAAAAAAAAAAAAAAAAAAAAAAAAAAAAAAAAAAAAAAAAAAACAGAGTAAAAAAAAAAAAATGGTACAAAAAAATGAAACGTTAATGGAAATTTACTCCCTCCCTTTCCCCACAAGTAATCACCAACAATTTCTTGTGTATCTTTCTAATTTTTTTCCTCTGCATCAGTAATGTTTTTATTATCATTTTTATTATTTTTAAATTATTTTATTTTATTTTATTTTGAGAAGAAGTCTCGCTCTGTCTCTCAGCCTGGTGTGTAGTGGCGCAATCTCAGCTCACTGCAACCTCTGCCTCCCAGGTTCAAGTGATTCTTCTGCCTCAGCCTCCTGAGTAGCTGGGACTACAGGAGCGTACCACCACTCCTGGCTAATTTTTGTATTTTTAGTAGAGACGGGGTTTCACCCTATTGGTCAGGCTGGTCTCGAACCCCTGATCTCAGGCGATCCACCCGCCTCAGCCTCCCACAGTGCTGGGATTACAGGCATGAGCCATCATGCCCGGTTATTATTTTATTTTATTTAAGACACAGGGCCTCGCTCTGTCACCCACACTGGAGTGCAGTGGCACAATCATAGCTTTCTGCAGGCTCAAACATCTTAGCCTCTCCAGTAGCTGGCACTATCGGTGTGTACCACCAGTAATGGTTTACAGGGCCCAGCCCAGCAATGTTTTGAAAATGAGGACCAGACCTGGTGGCTCATGACTGTAATTCAAGCACTTTGGGAGGCTGAAATGGGAGGATTGCTTGAGCCCAGGAGTTTGAGACCAGCCTAGGCAACATAGCAAGACCTTGTCTCTATGAAACATAAAAAATTATCGGGCACGGTGAGGTGGGAAGATCACTTGAGCCCAGGACTTGGAGGCTGCAATGAGCTATAATCACACCTCTGCATTCCAGCCTGGGCAAAAGAGCAAGACTTTGTCTCAAAAAAAAAAAAAAAGAAGAAGAAAAGAAAAGAAAATGAGCACATGCTCATACAGGTTTTGTCAATGTTTATTGATAAAATTTAAAAAGTTGATGTACTCATCATGACTCTCCTATGATATAAACTTAACATGTGTCAAGAATTTAATTTGGCCAGGCACGGTGGCTCACGCCTGTAATCCCAGCACTTTGGGAGGCTGAAGTGGGAGGATCACTTGAGGCCAGGAATTCAAGACCAACCTGGGCAACACAGAAAGACCCTGTCTCCACAAAAAATAAAAATAAATTTAAAAATTAGCTGAGTGTGGTGGTGCATACCTGTAGTAGACCTAGCTTCTGAGGAGGCTGAGATGAGAGCATCACTTGAGTCCAGGAGTTTGAGGTTACAAGGAGCTATGACTGTGCCACTGCACTCCAGTCTGGGTGACAAAGTGAGACCCTGTCTCAAAAAAAAAAAAAAAAAAAAGGAAAAGGAAAAAAATATTTAATTCATGAGGGAGCCAGTAAAATATTACAACCAATTTAAAGGAGAACTCAAAAGTATCACAAATAATAGTCAGATAAAGAACGTTGATTTTAGAAATGGATGTAAAACTGGTCAATATCCATGAGGCAGTAGTCAGTTGCAATTCACCAGACACAATTTTCATTTCTGTGAACAGGAATTATTTGCATTGCTATGACGTTTCTACAATTTAAATCTATCTTGAGAGGGTTGAGAAATAGTCTAGTCAAAGACAACAAAAGCCAGAGATAAGCTGGATGAATAAGTTATTCAGGACACCCCCCAAGTTTCAACATCGTTCACAGTTTCTTCCTACACTTGTAATTGGTTCCCTACCTCCCTCCCTCCTAGAATTTCCCTTCTGCACGTTCCTACTGCCCTGTTTGAACCAGCTGACCCAACCTTCCTCCCATGTTATGGTGATGAGCCAGGGCTCAAAGCCTAACCTGGGAGAACGTACTCATCACCTAGGCTGAGCCAAACAAGTGCTCCCAAGGCTTGGACGCTGCTTCTACAGAGGTGGGCACTGACATAGTCAGACTCAGGCAGGCAGATTCAGGCAGGCACACCCAGGGCTGGTAGTCATAATGGGCCTTGTAAAAGATAACCAAGCATTTTCTGTAAAAGGTAACAGATTAGGAATACAAAGAGAAAAAATTGTGGTCCAGTGAGAAAGACAGAGTGCCTGTCCAATGAGCTTGCAGTTCCTGAGATGACTTCCTGCATTTGGGTTCCATGAGAGTCCTCCTTTATGCCTGAATCAGTTTGGGTGGGTGTCTGTCCCACTAATTGCCTATCTGAGAGAATAGCTGACGTACAAGATGTATGACGACCTACAGGGCTGAGGTGTACATCTCAACCCTCCCAGGATCTGCGTTGGCACCACAGGGCCTTGTATCAGCCCTAGAAGGCAGGGGCAGGGTAGTCTGTGACCCAGCAGAAAAAAAACAAATACCTGACTTGCTCTATGCTGTTGGACACTCACCTCATCTCCTGTGAACAGGTTTTTTCATCTTAAAAATGGGGGACAATGCTCCTTCCAGCTTGCCTCTCAGGGTCCCATGGAGCCCAGTGAGAACCATGGATGCGAGTCTATTGCCAAGGCCAGTCCTGAGGCAGGAGCTGAGCCCACAGTTCTGTCAGGGCAGGAGAGCTTGGCTCGATGTGAAAAGTGTTTTGGGGCTGGGCGCAATGGCTCATGCCTATAATCCCAGCACTTTGGGAGGCTGAGATGGGTGGATTACCTGAGGTCAGGAGTTCAAGACCAGCCTGGCCAACATAGTGAGACCCCATCTCTACTAAAGATATAAAAATTAGCCGGGCATGGTGGCACCAGTCTGTAGTCCCAGCTACTTGGGAGGCTGAGGCAGGATAATTGCTTGAACCCAGGAGGCAGAGGTTGCAGTGAGCTGAGATCACGCCACTGCACTCCAGCCTGGGCGACGGAGCGAGGCTTTGTCTCAAACAATGTGTGTGTGTGTGTGTATATATATATATATATATAAAATTTAAAAATAAATTTAAAAAAGGGCTGGGCGTGGTGGCTCACACCTGTAATCCCAGCATTTTGGGAGGTTGAGGTGTTGGATCACCTGAGGTCTAGAGTTCAAGACCAGCCTGGCCAACATGGTGAAACCCCATCTGTACTAAAAATACAAAAATTAGCCAGGCATGGTGGTGGGTGCCTGTAATCCCAGCTACTCAGGAGGCTGAGGTGGGAGAATCTCTTGAACCTGGGAGGCAGAGGTTGCACTGAGCCGAGACCGCACCATTGCATTCCAGTCTGGGGAACAAGAGTGAAACTCTGTCTCAAAAAAAAAAAAGAAAGAAAAGAAAAGAAAAGAAAAAGAAAAAAGAAAAGTGCTTTGGGAGAAAAGATTTTATGCAAATGGCCAATCATGATTAATTGATGGGGAGTCTCCCAGGCAACGGATCGGATTTCACAGATAAATATGTGTGTGTGTGTGTGTGTGTGTGTGTGTGTGTGTATACATATATACATATAACTTGGCTCTCCTGAGAAGAAAATGTTCATTCAATGTAAGGCAAGATAGTGTAAGGCAAGTATATCCAAATGAGGGGTGTCCAATCTTTTGGTTTCTCTGGGCCACACTGGAAGAAGAATTGCCTTGGGCCTCATACAAAATATAATAACATTAACAATAGCTGATGAGCTAAAAAAAAAAAAAAAATCATAAACCAGATCTCATGTTTTAAGAAAGTTTACGAATTTGTGTTGGGCGGCATTTAAAGTCATCCTGGTCCCAATCCATGGGTTGGACAAGCCTGATCTAAATCAAGGTTTTCCATCCTTTAAACAGGTACCTTTTCACCATCTCCATTCATTCAGTGAGCATTTTTTGGGCACCTGCTGTATGATAAGCACTGCACCAAGCATTAGGAAACTGAAATAAAGATGGGCAGGCCCTGCTCTTGTGGTGCTGGGAAACAAACATACAGAAGGAGCTTTCCCACGGAGTGTGGTGAGCACACACAGAGGCAAACAAAGGATGCTCTCGGAGTACCAAGGAGGGGCACTCACCCATGACCCCAGTGTGGCATCACAGTCCACAGGGCATGTGCAGAGGAAAGTCTGGCATTTCTTTTTTTTCTTTCTTTCTTTTCTTTTTTTTTTTTTTTTTTGAGACAGAGTCTCACTCTGTTGCTCAGACTGGAGTGCAGTGGTACCATCTCGCTCACTGCAGCCTCTGCCTCCTGAGTTCAAGCAATTCTCCCACCTCAGCCTCCCGAGTAGCTGGGATTACAGGGGCCCACCTGGCTAATTTTTTTTTTTTTTTTTTTTTTTTTTATTTTTAGTAGAGAGGGAGTTTCACCATGTTGGCCAGGCTGGTCTCGAACTCCTGACCTCAGGTGATCCACCCACCTTGGCCTCCCAAAGTGCTGGGATTACTGGTGTGAGCCACCGGCCCTGGCCAAAAGTCTGGTGTTTCTTGAGAGTCAGGGGAGTGGTTAGCTGAAGGGGGCAATGGGGCCAGTTATGTGGGGTCCTGGGGACCTCAGAGGGAAGTCTGTGCTTCAATTGAAGGGTATGGGGTTTAAGAAAGTGAGTGCTGTGGTCAGATCTGTACTTTGGAACAATCACTCTGGCTGCTGGTGGAGAACAGGTGGGAGGGACAATGGACAGGAGGTATGAAGACCCCTCAGGAGGCAGTGGCAGGCATCCAAGCCAGAGCGATCACCTGAACTGAGGAAAGGGGTGGAAGGAACCGACTCAAGAAATGCTGGGCCAGAATTTCACCTGAAAAACGAGACAAAGAGAACCCTTAGATTTTCAGTCAGGACCACCCTGTGGTTAGAGTGTCACCATCATAGGAGAAAGAAACCATAACTAGTGGGTGGGCTGGGAGACGATGAGCTCAGTTTAAGACTCGGTGAGTGTGAAAGAGCTATAGGCATCCAGGAGGAAGCATCCGGCAGGCAGGTGGATACACAGGTCTGAAACGGAGGGAGGGTTTGGGCTGCGAGGCTGGAGAGAGGAGGCTGGAGTGAATGTGCCATGAACAAGTTTATATGAGGGTGATTGGGGAGGAGGGAAGAGGGGGAAAGTGCAGGAACATAATGCCTCTTGATCCTAAAATTCTCACTTGCTGAGAGTAAGGATGAGGGGAGGGGCTGGGGGTAGGAAGGGAGTGTTTAGAACATTTATTATGGGAAACAGGAGAGAAGCTGACCCAGGCACAGCTATGACATTTAAGAGGAGTCAGGAGACTAGTTCTTGCCAATGGAATGTTGATTGAGGATGACATGTCACTTCCAGTCCAAGACAGTTAAGAAGTAGATGTGACTTCTCCACCCTTCCTTTCCCCTTCTCCTAGTTTGATGCCCATTTGTTATAGACTGAATGTTTGTGTCCCCCCCAAAATTCCTATGTTGAAACGGAATCCCCAGTGTGATGGTATTTGGAGGTGGAGCCTTTGGGAGGTGATTAGGTCTTAAGGGTGGAGCCCTTAGGATGGGATTAGTGCCTGTATAAGAGGCCAGTGGCCAGGCATGGTGGCTCATGCCTGTAACCCCAGCACTTTGAGAGGCTGAGGTGGCTGGGTCACTTGAGGTCAGGAGTTTAAGACCAGCCTGGCCAACATGGTGAGACCTCGTTTCTACTAAAAATACAAAAATTAGCTGGGTACGGTGGTGCATGCCTGCAGTCCTAGTTACTCAGGAGGCTGAGGCAGGAGAATTGCTTGAACCCAGGAGGCAGAGGTTGCAGTGAGCGGAGATTACACCACTGCACTCCAGCCTGGGCAAGTGAGTGAGACCCTGTCTCAAAAAAAAAAAAAAAAAAAGGAAGGAAGGAAAGAAAAGAAAGAAAGAGAGAGAGAGAGAGAGACAGAGAGAGAAAGAAAGAAAGAAAGAAAGAAAAAGAAAGAAAGAAAGAAAGAAAGAAAGAAAGAAAGAAAGAAAGAAAGAAAGAAAGAAAGAAAGAAAAGAAAGAAAGGAAGAAAGAAAGGGCCAGAGACTTAAGACTACAGATGCACACCACCACGCCCAGCTAATTTTTGTATTTTTAGTAGAGATGGGGTTTCACCATGTTGGCCAGGATGGTCTTGGTCTCTTGACCTCGTGATTTGCCCGCTTCAGCCTCCCAAAGTGCTGGGATTACAGGTGCGAGCCACCGCGCCTGGCTGACCCCTTGTTCTTTTTCTACCATGTGAGAATGCAAGAGAAGTCAGCAGTCTGTAGCCCAGAACAGGGCCCTCACCACAGCTTGAGCATCTTGGTATCCTGATCTCAGACTTCTAGCACCTAGAACTATGAAAAATACATTTCTGTTGTTCATGAGCCACCCAGTCAATGATACTTTGTTATAGCAGCCTGAATTGACTAAGACAGCCTTGGAAACCACATTGGAGATGGTGAAGCCACAGTGTGGGAAGATCCTGGATTCCTGAATCATCACTTGGAGGACAAACACCACTGATCAGGAACACACATTTAGTTTTCTGTTAACAAGAAATCAGCTACCTTGTAGGAGCCAATATACATTTTGGGATTGCTTGTCACAGCATTGAGCATTACCCTAGCTCATGTAGGGTTTAAGAAAATGCATCGTTGTTCAGATGGTTCAGAGGGGTCTGGGCTGGGAAAACACTCAAGGCCTCTAGGGTCAGAAGGTCTTTGTTGAGGCTGAAGAGCAGAAGTGGTGAGAGGACCGGAAAAATCTAGAAAACAGATGTCAGGGCCTCTGGCAGAATGCAAGAAACTAAGATTTCAGAGAGAAGCTATCCCACTGTGGCAAGAGCCAAATGTGAGAAGTTGGGGAACATTAAACAGGGGTCTGGGAATTGTGATGAGTGAGGTCAAGAATTGTGTTGCCTGGTTAGTTCACAGGGATGTCAGAGTCTGTGATGAAGCAGAATGTGAGGTGGAGAGGAAGCCTCAGAGGGGCTGGCCATTGTTCTGCAATCAGGGACCAGGGAAGGACTGCTTTAGTGAAAGGCATGGGCTGGCGGGATTGCCATCACTCAGTCTGTCAGCTGCCATGACTGAGTGGATCTGAGCAGGGCAGCAAACGGATCGCTCAGGAGACCACCTGAGATGCACACCTGAAGGCTGGTTCCTGAAGTGTCACCTGCAAATGCTGATGTAGGCCAGCACCATCCAGAAACAGCCAGACCCACAGCAGAGCACTGCCATCAGCTGGTAAAGCATCATGGCACTTCCCAAAGCACCTTATTCACAAATCTGTCTGGGCCTCATGGACATCCCAGGGAGACCCATAAGAGAGTGGCCTCTCCCTGTGCCAGGTAAGGTCACCTAAGTGATAAGAGAGACTGTACAGGAGAGGGTGGAGTCAGGGTCTCCTGATCCTTGGGCTGTGGTTCTCATTATAAAATGCCTTTTGCAGACATTTCTGACATAAACTGCCCATTATCTTAGGAAGATTTGGGCTTCAATGTGCCATTGGCAGCAGGGACAACTGAGACAGCCTCCAAAAGGCAATTCCAGCTGGCGACTTCTAGAAGAATTTCTGAATGAATGGTGCCAAACCAGGAATAGGAATAGGAGTGTCAGAAAACCCAAAATAAACAAGAGGAGTTTATTTCAAAAAAAAAAAACAGATGAGGTTGGAGGTAGGTGTCAAGGGTTGCTAGGCCCTCCACTGTTTCAGAAGGCCAAGGTTCCTTCTGTTTTATTGTTCTCCTCTATTGCTGAGTAACAAAGTACTTCAAAATGCAGTAGCTTAAAACAATTGTAAACATTTATTATCTCGCACTTTCTGCGGTCAGGATTTGAGAATGACTTAGCTGGGTGGTTCTGGCTCAAGCTGTCTCATGAGGTTGCAGTTGGGATGTCAGATGAAGCTGTGGTCATCTGAAGGTTTGACTGGACTGCCACACTGCTGGCAAGTTAACTGGCTATTTACAGCAAGCCTCGGTCTCTCACTGCCCATAATCCTTCATTGGGTTGCTTGAGTGGGCTTCTGCTAGCCTAGAACAAGTGGTACAGTGAGGGCAAGGCATACTCTGCAATGTCTTTTATGATGTCATCTCAGAAGTCACATACTATCATTTCTGCAATATCCTGTTGGTTACACGGATCAGCCCTATTGCAAGCAGGAGAGAACTGAACAAGGACATGAATCACTGGGGGCCATCTCGGAAGCTAGGTACCACATATGCCATCCTCAAGGCATGTGGCTGCATCCTCATGTCCCAAGATGGCTGCTCGAACTCCGGCTATCACATCATAGATAGTGCATTGTAGCTAGTGGAAAGAAGGAGGAAAGGAAGCAGCGTGTGATTTCCTGAAGTTGGATGTACCATTCTATTTCTGTCTCACTGGTCAGAACTTAGTCATATATTCATAGCTGCAAAGGGGGCTAGGAAATTTAGTATTTATTGTGGGTGTCCATATGTTCAGCTAGACCAGATATTGGGGATAACTGGCCATCTCTGCCACATCAGCAATGTTCCCGTGTGTATCACACAGGATGAGGTGTGAGGGAGGAAGCACAGAGAACATTACCACTTTGGGTTACAGACCTGGCAAAGGACTTACAACCCATTTTGTCTGGGAAATGTGTGTGTATGTGTGTGTGTGATGGGGATGGGGGAGGAGTGCAAACTGTGCTTCACCCTGTAATTAGTGAATCTCACTATAAAAAGAAAATAGTCCTTAGAGAAGCTCAGGAGACAAGTAAGTGTAAACAACAGATCCAGTCCTAGAAGCCCAGCCAAGGGTGCTCTTAAAAATTAAGAAGCTCCAGAAAATGAAAGATCATCACAGGAGGCATAGTGAGGGCAGCCGCATTCTATCCCCAGACCTGCAGGTTTAAATAAATTCCAGGCAGCCTGATTTACTGATCCAAATGCAGAAACACAGATGGGTGCCTCCACCAGCTGTGTTTTTAAAAGATCGTATGATTCCTGATCAATGAACCAAAGAGACTGAATGCAGAAGTATTTCGAGCTGAGCTGAGGATTTGCCCAGAGACCTCGCAGAGAGCAGAGCCAAATCTTGAGCAGCCAGCTGAGTGCTGACTCAAGCTGGGGATGGGGGGTACGGAGGGTAGTATTGGGCAGCAGAGGCCTAGCTGAGTAGATGATGAGCCATCAGTCAGCCAGAGAACTCTAAGGTGAGAAAAGTCCACAGGAAGAAAAGCTGCCTTGGCAGAAGGAAGACAACGCTCTGGCCAGTGACAGGGATACTGTGATCCTAGAGGAATGCAAAGTCTGGAGCAAGAAGCCTGGGGCTAGGGCACCCGAAAGGACAGCAGGTACTGCCAAGCTTCTTCTGGCAGGGGTCAGCTTTCTCCTTTCTGCCACATTCTGCCTGGACAGTGAAACCTTATCTTGGGCTGTGTGTGGACTAAGGACTCAGTAGTACTTGCGGCATGGAGGGTGGCTGGGGACCTCTTAGCTGCCTGGCTGGTCCTACTCTCTGCCCATGGTTGGAGGTGTTGGCCCAAGTTGGATGAAGTCCTGGGTCCTGCATCCCTACTTGGTCATCTCCAGATGGGGCTATTAGGACACCCTGGGCAGTCAGCGTGCTCACTTACTCAGGCCACAACCCATGCTCCTTATTGTATGCGGTTGTCAGTCATCACTGCATTCCTGCTGTACAAGGGTCAATTTCCAGTGCAGTAAGGGGCAGAATTCCCAGGCTTCCCACTGAGCCTTGGCCTGAATCTCAAGTTCACCAATAAGGCCTTGGAGGACCTATGCAGACTCCTAGTTTGAGGGCCCTTTCATGAGACACTTGCAGCCATGGCTGAGGTCAGGCCCCACCTTGGGCAGAGGAGGATACAGGGAGTAGTGAAGACGGAAAAATCAGCCCAAAGGGCATGGAATTGGCTCAGGCAGCCTGGGACTATGTTTCCTGGCTCTGTTGCAGCAATGTGTGTTGAATTCAATGGGGAAGACACTGGGCTATACCCTGGGGACACAGAGGGGAGGGCTCCTATGATATCACTCCAGACACATAAATAAAGCAAAGCGGCAGAGGGTGTAGTATGCAGTGATGAGTTAAGTACAAGGTCCGGAAAGAATGTGGGAGGGGAGTTTGCCAGCAGAGTAGTAAAGGAAAGCTTCACAGAGGAGGTGACACATGCAAGAAAGAACAGGAGGAGGAGGGGCACCAGGCAGAGGGAAGGGCAGGCCCAGAGTTGTGAGCTGGGCAACCACCTGGGGTAGAGGTAAGGGATCTCCTCACCTGATGCGTTGACTGTGCTCTGAACTTTCTGGGCTCCTTCAGGGTGGAGTGTGGCCTTGATCTTTCTCCACTAACTCAGAAGAGTCCAGGGAGGGGAGAAGATGCTCCCTCTGCAGAATTTGTTGCATTTCCTTTTATCTTTGGGTCTTTGGTACCTGACCATGATGGGTGAAGTCATCATAAATTAAGAAAGAAGAGGGGCTAGGTGAGGGGCTCATGCCTGTAATCGCAGCCCTTTGGGAGGCTGAGCTGGGAGGATTGCTTGAGGCCAGGAGTTCAAGATCAGTGCGGGCAACATAACGAGACCCTGTCTCTACAAAAAATGAAAAAGAACAAAGAAATAGCTGGGCATTGTGTGCACACCTATAGTCCTAACTATTCAGGAGGCTGAGGCTGGAGAATCACTCAAGCCTAGGAATTCAAGGTTGCAGTGAGCCATGACTGCACCACTGCACTCCAGCCTGGGTGAAAGAGCAAGACCATGTTTCCAAAAAAAAAAAAAAAAAGAGAGTGAAATTTCTTTGGTCTTGGAGAATCTGCCCAAGCCCCCCATTCCTTTTCCATGTAGGTTTCCAAGTAATTCTGGATGGACCCTTAGGCCCAATTGTCCCCAGCAACCTCGGATGGGGCAGGAGGCAGGGCTGGGAGGCGCACTGGTTGGGGCACTCTGCAACTCTCTCCACTGTTAGATCCGGTCCCCTGAGGTCTCAGGGCCTCTCCAGAACCCAGGGGAACCCCCAGCGCCACCAAAGCACCCACCTTGCCTCTTGCAGCCAGTCTTACAGCATGAGAACAGTGATGTGGCTCATGTTGGCACATCATGTGTGACCCCAGTCACACTTTTTGTGGTGTGCAAACTTGCCTTTCCTCCAGGCCCCAGGGAAATGTGAGATGCAAATAAATAACCACGCAAATCTAAAACAAACAGCAGCCCCAGAGCGGTTTTATGAAGGCAGAAGGAATTGCAGGTCCTGAGTGGTCCAGCAGACCCAACTCTCTCTGGGTCATGGTGGGCAGGTGGGCCCAGGCCAGAGCCATGCTGGGATGGCACCCTGTCTCCAGCTACAGGTGGCCCAGGAACCTCAGGCATGGAGCTGCCAGTGCCCAGAAAGGCTACAGGAGAATTTACAGCGCAGATGGAGAATGGGACCTGCCCTTGGCATCTAGTCCCTGGACAGCCCATCTCTTTCACCCAGGAATCTCTGTCTCCTGGTTGTTGCTCTTCTCACTGGGATGTGCAAATAGCCTCCTGGCAGCCTTGGTCTCTCTCTTACCTCTGTCAGTTCCAGTCCGAAGGCCTAGCTCAGGTCACATCCCTCTGACTCAGATCCCCTTTCATTACAAGCTCCTCAGTCTGCCATGTAAGGCTTCACCCACTACAGTACCAATTCACCACTCACCAGTCCTTCAGATCATCATCCCCTAGCCATGTATGTGCCCATCCCTTTTATACTCTCCCTGCAAAGCTCTCCCATCTTCAGGTGCTGGATCTTGCCTTTACCTGGTCCCAAAGTCCCCTTATGGGGGCATTTGCTGTGACACTTGGCCCACCTGATCAGGCCCCGCTTCAACACTGTCTCACCTATCAAGTCTTCCTTGTCATTCTCTGCCCTCGGAACCTATGGCCTAAGGGATGGAGCTTTTTACTAGATTTGCATCTTTAATTATAGGAGTGATACATGCTTGTAAAAACATTCCCACATTACAGAAGCATACACAGTAAAATGAGCGTGTCATCCCAACTCTCCATTCCCTAGAACTCACTCCAGTTAACAGCTAAACCTGCACACAGACCCTCGTTTTACCAGCATGGGAGGGGTCCTTGGGGGCCTTCCATAACCACTTAAGCTAGCAGTAAGGTAGCGGTGGCGATGCGCAGACTTGGTGAAGGTTTTGCAGAGCGGAGGCCTGGGTTGACTTAGAAAAAAAATCCTCAAGGTTGGTCTGTGGGACCCCTTAATTTCCTTTACAAGTCAGTTCAAAGAACAGAGCCCCAGGGAGATATTCCTAGTTGTGTGGGAATATTCATTCTATTCTCCCAGGAGCCAGAAACTCAAGTTCAAAAGGCAACCAGGTCTCTAAAGAATTCCCTTGGCCTAGCACAACCTGTCACTGCAAGCCCAGACAGAGCTGAAGTCTGGCAGTCTCAATGGGGTGGTCACTCAGTCAGATGGAGAGAGGCAGAGCTGGAACCTAGGCCTTTTCTTCTCCAGCCTGGGCCCTTGCCTGTGCCCTGTAGGCCCCTGTGTTCTGGCTGGGCATCCTGGAGTACCCCTACAACCAAACAACAGAGACCCCTGTGTGCCCTGCTAGCAAAGCAGTGATTCTCTTTAGAGTGTGGCCCAGAGAAGAGTCCACCTTCAGAAATAAATGGCACTGCCCTCCTTAGAATAGGATCTAAGCGAAGAACAGGGCTGTGCAGGCATCTCCTTCATGAGGGACTCCAGCCCATGTTACTAGGGAGTGTGAGGGGCAGGGGACACATGCCTTCCCCAAATAACCTGAGGGACTACATCCTTCCTCCACACTCCAAGTCAAATATTTATTGAGACAAGAGAAGGGACTGGAGTTCTCCAAGTTGGGAACACCTAACCATGGAAGGCTCTCCCAAGATGTCAGTATCTAAACTTACACTTGAAAGATAAGCAAAGGCCGGGAGCGGTGGCTCACGCCTGTAATCCCAGCACTTTGGGAGGCTGAGGCAGGAGGATCACCTGAGGTCAGGAGTTTGAGACCAGCCTGGCCAACATGGTGAAATCCCGCCTCCACTAAAAATTAGCTGGGCACAGTGGCGCATGCCTGTTATCCCAGCTACTCAGGAGGCTGAAGCAGGAGAATCACTTGAACCCTAGAGGCGGAGCTTGCAGTGAGCTGAGATCGCACCACTGCACTCCAGCCTTGGTAACAGAGTGAGACTCCATCTAAAAATAAAATAAAATAAAGATAAGTAAGAAGTGGCCAGGTAAAGCATTCCGTGCAAAGGGAACACCATGGGTAAAGGTCTGAAGGTGAGAGGAAGCATTACTTTGGAGAAACTGAAACTTCACTGTGGCCGAACCTAGTGTGTAAGGGGGATGTAGTGGGCAGTGGTTGGAGAAGTCAACTGCCTGGGTGTGCAAACCCTTCTCTGTCAGCCCAGAAGGCCGGGGTTTTGTCCCCATGGCCAAGCAGAGTCAAGGAAGGGTTAAGCAGGGGGGTGACATTTTAGACAGACTGTGATTACCGTATAGACCACGACCTGTTGGTGATAAGTTTGGAGGAAGTGAATGTCTTTGGGTGAGCAATATGGTGGCCTGGACTAGGGCAGACATAGTGGAATATAGAGAAGCAGTGGAATTCAATACAGCACAGCATGAGGGGAAGTGAGGGAGAGGAAGGTGACCCTGGCTTTGTTGCTGGGGATGTAAATCGCAGGCCCACAGTTGAATTTAGCAAACAGTTGCTAACTGGTCTGGGCTCAAGGAGTAGGGAGCTGGGGGCCCCCACGTTGTTTCATAGGTGAAAAATTGAAGGCCAGGAGCAAGTGAGAAGCCCTGATCTGCCATCTATCCTGCTGACATCAGTAAAAACCTGACTGGGCACCCAAATCTTGATTTGGCCAGGAGGCTGCTTAATACCTTAATCCTGGCACAATGGCCCAGGTGCATAGCTGACCACCTCCAAACAACCCAGTGCTCACCTGACCCACAGCCCCATGTCCATAGTCAATCAGCAACCCGCAGAAACTTCATTTTTTGAATACAGAACAGAAATAGCTCATGACCAACCCCATGTCTTACTCCTTTATCCCCAACCCCTGAGCCTAGACTCTGGATAGAATACTTTCCCTGTTTGGCAGTAAAACTTTTTTACTCAGCGCTCAATCTTTGGCCTCTGGTCTTTTTTTTAAGTTTCTTTTTGGTTAATAGCGATGGAGTCTCGCTATGTTGCCCAGGCTGGTCTTGAATTCCTGGGCTCAAGTGACCCTGTTTTAACACACGCCAGAGGCTCCCACCAGACCCAGGGCCCTGAAGGGGCTTCAACAAAGTCAGACACACCCTCTATGTTCTTTGCTCAATTCGGATATTCTGCACTCTGTGGTTTGCACTTCAGCCCCTCCTGAGTCACCCGCTGCACCCAGGAGTGCACACAGCAATGCAGTGGATGGTCCAGGAGGACCTGGGGTGCTGTCTAAGGCCATGAAGTTTAGCCAGGTGTGGTGGTGCATGCCTGTAGTTGCAGCTACACTGAGGGCTGAGGCGGGAGGTTGGCTTGGACCCAGGAGTTGAAGGCTGCAGTGAGCTATGATTGTGCCACTGTACTCCCCACCTGGGTGACAGAGTGAGACCCTGTCTCAAAAAACAAACAAACAAAAACAACAACTTGGATAAAGACTCTTGCTTGGCCCAAGGACCTTACTTTCTGACACTGATCACATAGATGTGAACCTTGGGATAGAAATTCAGGCAGTGTCGGAAACCCCAGGCCCCACTCTCAGAGCTGGAGTTAGACAGTGCCCTCCAGGGGAGAATGAGTTTCCAGAAGCCCTGGCTGTGCCCCCTTCAGTCAGGGAAATAAAGACCCTTCTATTTCCCTGTGGCCAGCCAGGGAGGATGGGTGAGTATCACAGTTAAGAACCAGGAATTTTGCCCCTTGAAGGGCCCAGAGAGCTCTGCTCATCTGTCCGTTTTCAGGGACAGGCATAGTGAAGGGTTTTTCTGAGGCAGAGCCAGAAGTCTGGCTTAGGGCCCAGTGAGTCATCTTCCAAGAGTCTAGGCTGCACAAGAAGGCTGCCTGTGGCCACCTTTGCTTTTGTTGCTGCAGGTGGAGCTCACCTACTGAGGCCTGGGTCTGCTGGTAAGATGCATTGGGACCAGGAGATCCTCTCTATAATCTTCACCAAATGACTCTGCCCGGTCAACCCTCCCTTGGGGCTCAGAACTGCCCATTCCTATTTCCTTTAGTCTTGAGAAACATGCTCCTCCTGCAAAGGACAGCTGGCTGACTAGAGGGACAATCTCTCTAGGGGCTAGGATGAGACCGAGTGCCCAGCCACATCAAAAATAGTGCCAGTGTTCCTAAGAGCCACATAGGGAGCTATTGTCCTAACAAATCCAACAAGGGGCATGAAAGAGCTGAAAAATCTGAATGAGAAGAAGGAGAAACCTTTTTAGTGGCTTAAGGATACAATGCCAATTATACAGATGGGTAAACTCCTGCCCCTGAGGACCTCCCTCTTCTGGAGGAAGCCTGGGAAGAGCCAAAGCTTTCAGTCTTCTAAAGAAGGGTAGCCCGGCTGGGCGCGGTGGCTCACGCCTGTAATCCCAGCACTTTGGGAGGCCAAGGCGGGCAGATCATGAGGTCAGGAGTTCGAGACCAGCCTGACCAACACGGTAAAACCCCATCTCCACTAAAAATACAAAAATTAGCTGGGCATGGTGGTGAGCGCCTGTAGTTCCAGCTACTTGGGAGGCTAAGGCAGGAGAATCACTTGACCCTGGGAGGCAGAGGTTGCAGTAAGCCTAGATCGTGTTATTGCACTCCAGCCTGGGCAACAGAGAGAGACTGTCTTAAAAAAAGAAAGAAAGAAAGAAAGAAAAAACAAAAAGAAGAGTAGCCCCTTGCCCCTCACCCTTGGATGTACCAAGTCAGCACCTTTCCCCTCTGCTCAGACCACCATTCATTCTCATTGCACCACTGGTTCCTGGTCACCCTGGAACACCTTTGCCAATACAGGCCCTCCTTAAAGTCATATGGGGCAATACTATCACTATTGAATCACTATCAAAATCCTGACAACATTTTTTTTTCAGAAACAGAAAAATCCATCCTAAATTCATATCATATCTCAAGAGACCTCAAGTAGTCAAAACAAGCTTGAAAAAGAACAAAGCTGGATGGAGATCCCACAACTCCTGATTTCAAAACTTGCTATAAAGCTACAATAATCAAAACAATCGCTACTGGCATAAACACAGAAACGTAGACCAACAGAATGGAATAGAGAACTCAAAAATAAACCCTCACACACACGACCAAATGATTTCCGACAAGGATGCCAAGATCATTTAATGGGGGAGGAAAGGACAATCTTTTCAACAAACAGTGTTGGTTAAACGAGATACCCATATGCAAAATTATGCAATTAAACCCTACCTTGTACTACACACAAAAATTAGCTCAAAATGGATCAAAGAACTAAACATAAGAGTAGTTCAAACTATAAAGCCCTTAGAAGAAAACATAAGAGAAAAGCCTCATGACTTTCGATTTGGCAATGATTTTTTAGATATGACACAAAAAACACAGGCAAAAAAAGAAAAATAAATAAATTTGGCTTCATCAAAATGAAAAACTTTTGTGCATCAAAGGACACTACAAGCAGAGTAAAAAGGCAACCATGGAATGGGAGAAAATATTTGCAAATCTTTTTTTTTGAGACAGAGTCTTGCTCTGTCACCCAGGCTGGAGTGCAGTAGTGTGATATCGACTCACTGCAACCTGGGTTCAAGTGCCCCAGCTTCCTGAGCAACTGGGACTACAGGCACGTGCCACCATGCCCTGTTACTTTTTGTATTTTTAGTAGAGATGGGGTTTCACCATGTTGTCCAGGCTGGTCTTGAACTCCTGACCTCAAGTGGCCCACCCACCTTGGCCTCCCAAAGCGCTGGGATTACAGGCATGAGCCACCGCACCCAGCAGCAAATCTGATAAGAGATTAATATCCAGAACATATAAAGAACTCCTACAACTCCACAACAACAAAAAACAAACAACTGGATTTTAAAATGGGCAAGGAATTGAATAGACATTTCTCCAAAGAACATATGCAGATGACCAATATTTTTAATAGTTTAAAATTTTTATCTAAAGTTCTTTTTGTAGAGATGGGGTCTTGCTATGTTGCTCAGGCTGGTCTTGAACTCCTGGCCTCAAGCAATCCTCTCACCTTGGCCTCCCAAAGTGCTAGTGTTAGAGGCGTGAGCCACCGCATGCAGCTTGGATGGCCAATGAATGAAGGAAAAGATGCTCAGCATCACAAATTATTAGAGAAATGTAAAACAAATCTGCAATGAGATACTACTTCACATCCATTAAAGTGGCTATTATTAAAAAGCGAGGCCGAGCACAATGGCTCACACCTGTAATCCCAGCACTTTGAGAGACTGAGACGGGCGGATCAAGAGGTCAGGAGATCGAGACCATCCAGGCGAACACAGTAAAACCCGTTCTCTACTAAAAATATAAAAAGATTAGCTGGGTATGGTGGTGGGCGCCCATAGTCCCAGCTACTTGGGAGGCTGAGGCAGGAGAATGGCATGAACACGGGAGGCGGCGCTTGCAGTGAGCCGAGATAGAGCCACTGCACTCCAGCCTGGGCGACAAAGCAAGACTCCGTCTCAAAAAAAAAAAAAAAAAAAAAAAAACAAAGGGAGAAGGAAATAAGTGTTGGCAAGGATGTGGGGAAACTGCAACCCTTGTGCATTGCTGGTAGGAATGTAGAATGCACAGTGCAGCCGCTGTGGAAAAGAGTACGGAGGGTCCTCAAAAAAAGTAAACATAAAGGGACCCAGCAATTCCACTTCTGGCTATATAGCTAGAAGAATTGAAAGCAGTGACTCAAACAGATATTTGTACATCCATGTTCATAGCAGCATTACTCACAATGACAAAAAGGAGGAAACAACCCAAATGTCCATCAATGGATGAATGGATAAACAAAATGCATACAATGGAGTGTTATTTGGCCTTAAAAAGGGAATGCAATTCTGACACACGCACAACATGGAGGAAGCTTGAGGACATTATGCTAAATTAAAGAAGCCAGTCACAAAAGAACGCATACTGTATGATCCCACTTATATGCAGTATCTACAGTAGTCAAATTTATAGAGACAGAAAGTAGAAGGATGGTTACCAGGGAGTAGGGGAAGAGGAGAATAAGGAGTTAGTGTTTAATGGCTAGAGTTTCCATTTGGGATGATTAAAAAGTTGTGGAGAAGGCCAGACTCAGTGGCTCATGCCTGTATTCCCAGCACTTTGGGAGGCCGAGGCAGGCACTTCACGTGAGGTCAGGAGTTCGAGACCAGCCTGGCCAACAAGGTAAAACCCCGTATCTACTAAAAATACAAAAAATTAGCCAGGCATGGTGGTGCGCACCTTTAATCCCAGCTACTGTGGAGGCTGAGGCAGGAGAATCACTTGAACCCTGGAGACGGAGGTTGCAATGAGCCAAGATCACGCCACTGCATTCCAGCCTGGGTGACAGAGGGAGACTCTGTCTCAAAATAATAAAAATTTTAAAAAGTTGTGTAGATGGATGGTGGAGATGGTTGCATAACAATGCGAATGTTCTTGATGTGACTAAACTGTACCCTTAAAAATGATTAAAAGGATACATTTTATGTTTTGCATATTTTCCCACACGCAAAAAGTTGCATGGGGGTGAGAAGCTCCAATCCATTAATATTCTTCAGAGGGAGCTTACTCAGGGCCCTGGGAGATAGTGGGGGCGTTGGGGAGAAGGGGGGGCTGCCACCAACAGTTCTGTGATTACCTACCTCCCCCCCAACACCAACCACCACTTCTTTTTCTCTCTATCCCCTGCTCATCCTTCAAAACCCAGCTCTGGTCCTCTCCCACCTCTTCCAGGATGGGCCCTCCAGCCCTCACTGCTCTCCCTCAGAGCATGTTCAGATTCCACTCCCTGCTCCAACAGTCCTGCTCTCGTCACTCCAGGCTCTTTCCTGGTGGGACTGAAGCCTCTCTGGGGTTAGTTTCTGCTGACCCCAGGACCAGTTTCTGCTCCTTGCCAACCTAGGAGAGGCCAACAGTCAATGCTCAATCCCCTTGTCTTTTTTTTTTTTTTGAAATGGAGTCTCTCTGTCATCCAGGCTGGGGTGCAGTGGCACGATCTCTGCTCATTACAACCTCTGCGTCCCTGGTTCAAGCAGTTCTTGTGCCTCAGCCTCCCAAGTGGCTAGGACTACAGGTATCTCCTTGTCTTTAAGACAGGGCTATTAGCCAGGGGTGGTGGCTCATGCTTATAATACCAGCACTTTGGGAGGCTGAGGTGGGAGGAGAGTTTGAACCCAGGAGTTTGAGACCAGCCTGGGCAACAAAGGGAGACTCCATTTCTGTAAAAAATGTAAAAAAAAAAAATTAGCTGGACTGTAGTCTCAGCTGCTTGGGAGGCTGAGGTGGAAGGATCACTTGAGCCTGGAAGCTGGAGGCTGCAGTGAGCCATGATTGCACCACTGCACTGCAGCCTTTCTTTCTCAAGAAAAAAAAAAAAAAAGACATGGCTATTGATATCCACCTCTCAAGGTTGCTGCGGGCACCCAATATGATAACCAATATAAGATTCTCAAGCACAGGGAAGGGTACATAGTAAGTACTCAATATATTATTATCATCATTGTTAGGGTTATTCTTCATACTGGCCTAGAATACTTCTCCCAATTCCATCTGCCTATGGCTCCTCATCCCTCATGCCCCAGCTCCACTTCTACCTCCACCATAAAGCCTTCTTGTCCACTTCAAGCTCCACTGAACCCCTATGGAGCATCTTAGAATTGAAGAAAAATCTGACTTCATACGGTTGTCATGAAGATTAAATGATTTAAACCACGTGAAATGCTTAGAAGAGAGCCAGGCATATAAAATATGCTGAGTAAGAGTTAGCAGTGATGATGATGATAATGATGGTGATGACAGTGACGATGGGCTGTGGTCATTTCACTTGTCTGTTCTATGTGTATTGTCTTGATTGTGACTGTCAGCTCAGTGGGAAGACTTAATAAAGAAACTGGTAGTTTCTTTATTAAGACAGGTGCTAGGGGGCTGAATTCAGGTTCAGAGGGGCTTTTCAGAGCCTTGGAGGGGGTAGGTCCAGGCCATCTTCCTCATCTTAAAAGATGAGTAATGGCCAGGTGTGGCGGCTCACGCCTGTAATCCCAGCACTTTGGGAGGCCGAGGCGGGCGGATCACCTGAGGTCAGGATTTCAAGACCAGTCTGGCCAACATGGTGAAACCCCATCTGTACTAAAAATACAAAAGTTAGCTGGGCATTGTGGCGGGCGCCTGTAATCCTAGCTACTTGGGAGGCTGAGGCAGGAGAATCACTTGAACCCGGGAGGCAGAGGTTGCAGTGAGCCGAGATCATGCCACTGCACTCAGCCTAAGTGACAGAGAGAGACCTTGTCTCAAAAAGGGGGAAAAAAAAAAAGATGAGCAACAGTCAACAGGCCAGAGAGATGGGCGAGTCCCAATGCAGAAGCTAGGGGCACACAGGAAGATGTTACAGTGGCTAAGCGATGTGGTTGAGGTGGCAAGAGCTGGGGCTAGAGCCAGATGGGGCAGAACCTTTACCCAAGGTGGACCACAGCCACCCTGGAGGGCTTTCAACAGGGGACAGACCATCTGACTTGCATTTTGAGGTGATCACTCTGGCTTTGGGTGGAGAATGGGCAGCAGAGGGCATGGGTAGGAGGAGACAGTGAAGAGGCTGCTGCTGGAGTCCAGAGGGAGTTGGGGGTGGCCTGGGTGGTGGTGGTGGAGGTGGAGGGTTATGGACAGGTTGCAGAGGTGTTTTGGAGGAAGAGATGCCAAGGCCTGTGCTGGACAGGCCAAGAGGCTGAGGGACTCACTACCCAGGGGTCTTGGGTGACTGGGTGGATGGTATTACTGTTTCCTGAGAGCTGACCAGTGGAAGAACAGGTTGAAAGGACCACACTGGCCCGTGGTTATTGAGAACTGTGTGATCAGCTCTCCTTCTCCCATCCTTCCCAATTATACATTCATAGCCGTCATATTCAGAATGTTCTTTGAGTCTAACCCTGTCCTCCCAGCTGCAGTGTGAGCTCAGGCCATTTCACACTGCCTTCGTTGAGTCTGTTTGGTGCTGAGAAGCCATGGGAATGAGGGATGGGCAGGGGGCCAAGGCCTGGGTGGCAGGCATGCTTCTCGCATGACCGCTATCAAGCAAGCCAACCTCTGGTGCCTGTCAGACTCAGATCCCGTGAGCCTGTGCCAGGGTGTGTGGGCTGCA